TTTTTGACATGGAAATAATTGTTTAAGATTGACAAACATCATATGGCACAATTCAAACGGGATTGAAAGATACATTTTCTCTCTCCATTGACTTCAATACATACTTTTTCAGAAATAAGGAAAGGGGAGGGACTTCGGCTCTCTATTGGGATCATTTGTATTTATGTGGACCGGAGGGAGAGGGTGACGAGCATAAGTTTAACTTTCCTTTTTTATTTAGGCGTCTCTGTTGAGTTTGTCGATACCTACACATATCTGGGCTTTTGGTTGGACAGATATCTGAACTTTAAACACCATATTGAAGTTCTAACAAAGAAATTGAAATTCACTCTTGGCTTCCTTTTCAGACTTAAATGTTGTTTTTCAACTTCATCCCGTAAAAGATTGGTCTCTAGCTTATTCCTGTCCCAGCTGGACTACGGTGATACCATCTATAGATTTGCCTGTCCCACTGTTTTGGCCAAACTTGACCCACTCTACCATGCTGCACTGCGATATATCAAATGCTCCCTATAGGACTCATCATTGCAAACTGTATAGCCTAACTGGATGGTCCTCACTTACTATGCGTAGGATGCAGCATTGGTTTTTATTCATGTATAAAGCCATTTTAGGTAAGCTTCCACTGTACATATGTGCCAGATTTTCCCCAGTTTGTGACTCTTACAACCTCAGATCCAGTGCCTGGATACGGTTCCAGGTTCCTGCTGTGCGGACTGAGGCTGGACAAATTAGTCTTTTCTATTATGGTCCTTGGTCTTGGAATGATCTTCAATCAAGCCTAAAACTGAGGGCGCTTGTCTCAAGAGCATGTTTTAAATTGATGTCGTCTGAAGTCCTTACCACCAGCTGCTTTTGCAGTAATAAGTAGTGTACCTTTCTTACTGTCCTAATGTGCACAATGTAGTGACTGCTTTTCGTCTTTTGTTTTCTTAGTTACTGTATGTTCTCTGTATTGATGTGTTATGTGTAACGTTGCTGCCTTCTTGGCCAGGTCAGCATTGAAAATCAGATTTTATCTCAATGCTTTTATCTGGTTAATAAAAAAAAAATTCAATTCCAACTTTGGTCATGAAGAATATGTTCCTCTGTTGTCCCCGTTCATAAAGCATAAAACAACAGCATCAGAGGCACGGTGCAGAGTCTCTAGATGAGTTTACAGTAGTCCCTCCTTCTTATTAAACATCCATGTTGTAGTTCCATAGTTTCCCCACAGCAAGCAGACGCCACATTTATGGACGTCCGCTGGCCGCATCATAAATACTCGGATAGTGAAAGTGCATTCGGATTCTCTAAGCACCGCAGTCTCTTCTCCTAAATCCTTTTGAATTCTCCTATCCACTATCCCTTAACCCCATGACGTTTCAAACAGAGGTCAAGGAATAGACGATCTAGGACGATATCAGCTGATTTTTTACTATTCGACCGCAACCGAGGAGTCGAGGGGGGGAAATTAGAGAAATTAGAAATAGAAAGCTTCATGGCCCCCACATTCACATAAACACAAACACACACACAGACACAAAACAAAGTCACAAGTGCGGCACCAGATGATGCGTTCACAATACAATGAACAGCAAAAGTGCCACATATGTTGAATATAATGGATTATTTTTCAATATCAGACTCTTAATGTCCTTGACATCTGATTGAAGCAGAGCGAATGTCAGCCATTTCCATAAGCAGCAGAGAGGGGAGTGAGGCCCGAGTGATGGAGACAGAGAGAGAAAGGCAGTGAAAAAGAGATGTGGGTGGCTGTGAACAGAGAGGGAAAGATACTCTACTCTGGGCAACCCTCTGGGACGCTGTATGGACGTTTGTTTGGTAGAGAGGAGTAGTGCATCTGGGGAAGCTGTAACCCCGGGTAACAGCTTCTCAAAAAACTGGCCCACACTGGATCCCAGAGTCGTGAAACATGCAGGACTCTTTCTAATCCGAGCACTTTAAAAAACTCTCTGACAGCAGCAGCTGGATGCTAAGAGCACTTGAAGGCATTTCACTGAGGCCTCGACGTGCACACAGACCGTGCTGCCACTGATGTTTACATGCTAATGATATGCTAAAAACACTTTAAATGTCAAGTAGGGGAGACCGAGGTTGGCTGGCACAAAGCTATTTTCTGGTTCGGTAAAGGTCATGGAAATAAAAATGGAACATCAACATTGTTGTGTTGTTCACCTGCACTCATCTACTAGTTTTAAACCTTAACAGCCAGGGCTGACCATAAAGGAGGCACCCAGGAAGTCTTCTCGCTCTCTCACTCTGGGCCTGTTGCTGATGAAGGAGCCTGCAGTGTTTAGCAACTCATTCTCTTTGTATTGTCTGACCTTTTTGAAAGTGTGTGTGTTGAGAGGTGGAGGAGTTAGGTAAGTCTGGGGTACCCTGTACATTTCTCACCACGTAGCTAACTCATGTTTAGACACACTAGGTTAGCGGATTGTTGCCACCCCTGTATATTGTTTTGTCAAATTCTTAGTTTAGTTAGTGAGGGTTTTTTTGTTTGAGTTTTGGTTTCGAAGGGTAGATTTAGAGATATGCCTGGTTTTTGTTATGCTTGTTTCTTTTGTTTGGCACAATCCTTTCACTCCTCCTCCTCACCAACAGAGTGTTTCAATGATATGTCGGTTCGGGGTTTACACAAAATAAACCTTTACGCTGACTCCCTCATTTTTATTGGTTGTATGTTATTGTCTCCAGGTCCCCTAGGCCAGGGGTGGCCAACCCGCGGCTCTCGAGCCGCATGCGGCTCTTTGCCTAGTTTCATGCGGCTCTTTGCCTAGTTTCATGCGGCTCTTCAGTTCATATCGAATTGTATATGTGTGAGTTTGGGGGAGAGACATTGACTCCTGACCAGTGTTGCACGGTGTACCGATACTTGAAAGGTACCGCGATACCCTGCCTTTAAAAACGTTACGATTCCGCCGTTTCATTAGTATCGGTACTTTAAGAATGACGGGGAAAAGTACTCCGGTGAGAAAGCGCCGTTTTAATAAGAGCCGTGTGTGTTCAGCGCTCTGCTTCCACTCCCTGCACTGCAGCCTTGCCTGCAGTCCCTCCCTCTCAAGCACGCTCTAAGTCCCTCCCCTCTCAAGCACGCTCTAAGTCCCTCCCCTCTCAAGCACGCTCTAAGTGCCTCCCCTCTCTCGTGCACGCGCTAGCTGCCAGAGCATGTGAGAAAACGAGAAGCATGGCTGCAAGTGGGAGTGCAACTGCCGCTGCGCCTCGGCTTGTTGACAAAAAATACGCCAGAAGCGAAATTTGGAAGTATTTGAGCTATATCTCTGACAGTGAGGGCAAGCCTACGGACACCACGAGGCCTGTCTGTGAGACATGTATTAATTTTATTTAATACGAATTCTTGTCATTTATTTTATTTATTGTTCTCATTGTTTAAAAGTGTGTGTTATGGTTATGGTTCTGGTGTGAAATAAAGCACAATAATTACATTTAAGACTGTTTCCCTTTTTTTAAGAAAAGTATCAAAAAAGAATCGGAATCGCAATTCTTGACTTGGTATCGAAACCAAAATGTTGGTACCGTGACAACACTAGCTACTCCTGACAGTTAAACCTGATATTTAGTAGGTCTGTTAAGTATTGAATGCTGATCATTCTGACGTAATTTGGCCGGTCAAAGTTGTTTGGGCTCGGATAAAATCGCTCCGTTACTTTCGTCCCGTGTTACTTTCGTCCCGGCTCTCCCTATGTGTGTATGTGTGGTGTCAGGTGTCAGTATGAGAGGATGACAGCGCGTCTAATTTTGATGTGACCCAAGAGCCAATCACAATAATACCTGCGATGCAGTGAACCAATCACCTTTGAGGGGGGGAAAACCTATCGTTGATTAAACACTATCCAGTGTTTCCCCTACCATTGTGTTGGAGGGGCGCTGCGCCCCGCCAACGGAGCCCCGCGCCCCCCCCTGAAATTCAAGGTGTTTCAAAAATATATATAATATATATTTTTTAAATATATATATAGCACCAAATTGCAAATAATCTATAACTACTGTCACTTTTCACATTGAACATGTGCTCTTTTATTAAATAAACTAAACGCTTTCATTTTAAGTTGTGAGTTTAGTGTTTTTGACCCTAAGAAACACTGATGCAATAATCAATAACAATAATCCACAGCTCCTCTCTCTGCTCCAGAGGATTTAAAAAATATATATCCCAATGCCACAAAGATGCATCAGTGACGTGGTTGAAATCTTGTCTCCAGAAAACAAAAAAACTGAAACAAGCGTTATCAGTGACTGTGTGTTTGATGTGGCTCTTTGCAGTAACATAGAAAAAATGTGGCTCTTAACCTCTGACTGGTTGGCCACCCCTGCCCTAGGCCTTAGTGGGGACCAGTCGTTGAACCAGGGACCCTGCGGTCATGAGTCAACTGCTTTCCAGCTGAGCCACAGCACACACACTCAATTCATCTGAAAACACTGCACGCTATTTATTCCTGTATTTATTCATTCATTGATGTTTTTATTCCTACTTTTATTTATGCTTTTATTTATTTATACTTAAAACATGTTCCGACCTCTATATAAGAGGGTCTGAGCTCTCTTAATTCCATCGTGTCACCGGCCCGGGTACAGGAGGGGTAATATGGTTCTTATTATACATCCATGGGTAATATGAGCGTTGTGGTTCAACCGATCTAAAGCACTTTCTGCTTCCAACAAATCGGTTCACTAAAAGGTTCATCTGAGGCTTCATGGGCTTCATGTGCACACAAGACCCCCTGTTGGTGAACAGGTGTAAAACAGCCAAATATTATTTGTAATCTTTGACATACTAAAAATACTGGAAATAATGATACAAAAGTGTAAAAGATGTATTTGTAGTCCTTTATTAACAGAATTTTGCACCAGTAAGTGTTTTAAAATGACTGTATATAATAATAAAAACAATGTATCAATACAGTATCTTATATCTATACATAAATAAATGTAAAGGTCTGCTGCCTTCTATAAAGACAAAAGAAGCAATATATGTTCGAAAACTGGAAAAGAAGAAGGGTTTAACTTTCCAGAGGGCATATGCTTGTGTGACTTTTCAGAGGGCAGTGAATATGCTTGTGTGACTTTTCAGAGGGCAGTGAATATGCTTGTGTGACTTTGCAGAGGGCAGTGAATATGCTTGTGTGACTTTGCAGAGGGCAGTGAAAATGCTTGTGATTCATGGAACAATTGTATTGGTTTTTGTTTAAAAACAATATTTCTTCCACAGTTTTCGGGCTTAGGCGATTTCTTTTCTTTGACACAACTTCTCCTGCCTTTGAAAAGACCCTTTCACACGGGACTGAGGAAGCAGGTGTGCACAAAAAAGTGACTGCAAGTTTATGCAGGTTTGGATAAACATGTTTTTGTGTCTGCCAGTAGTTCAGAGGGTCCTCCAAGCGTCCGATATTTGGTTCGGCCAGGTACCGCTGGACTTCAACAGTTGCGTCAGCTGTGGCATTCTTGGTCTTCCTGGACATCTTCACAGTCTGATCCAATTTATGCCAGAGTTTGTTTCCTGAAAAGTATACACAGAGTGTCAGTGGATGTAGTAAATACTTCAAATTGCTTTAAAATTAATAAAATTACCTGGGGTTTCTTGTTCAGGTTGAGATGTGGATGGACTTTCTTGGGGCACGGCTTCAGGTGTTCGGATCAGTGCACCACATTCAGTCACAAGCCTTTTTGTGGCTTCTGCAGATTTTAAAGGGCTAAAAAATCCGATCAGTTTGAACCTATGGTCCAGTAGCGTTGCCAATGACATGATGCTCATAGATTGGAGTGTGTGGAGTCTCTCTTAGCTGCCTTAATAGATGTTCTCCCATTTCTTTGGCCACTGCTACTGCAGTTTTTGCCATCTCCTCATGAAGCATTTGCTCCAGCATTTTGAGGAGGGGCACAACCTTGGAACCAGATACATTTTTCTCCTCACAAAGCTCAATGGTGGCATCATTGAATCCAGACAGCAGAGAGAGGCACCCACTTATGGTGGTGAACTCGGCAGAGGTCAGTGTGGTGATTTCTGTGTTCAAACTGGCTAATGCCGCACCAACTGGTTTTCTGAGGTCCACCAGACGTTGCAGCATGTGATATGTGCTGTTCCAGCGGGTCTCCACCTCTTGCAGGAGCTTCAGTGTGGGCCTTCCCAATTGCCTTTGCACCGATACAAGCTTCTCCTTTAACACAAAATTAAAGATGTATTTAATTGTCAAATTAGCAGTAACATAAACATAGCATTATTATTATTATTCATTATTAACCAATGTAAAAAGGTCAAAGCACATACCTTGGCAAGGGTGCTGCTCCTGAAATATCCCACCAGTTTTCTTGCCTTGGCTCGAATATCACACAGCACAGGGGTCATGTCAAGAGATTTTTTGACAATCAAATTCAGTGTATGTGCAATGCATATTGCATGACGTAGCTTTAATTGTTTGCCACAGGAAATCATATTGGCTGCACCATCCGTCACAAGGCAAGTGACCTTGTCAGTGATTCCCCATTCCTCCATGAGGGAGGCTTTCACTCTGGCCAGGTTTTCAGCAGTGTGTGTATGGGGAAATTGTTGCACTCCTAACAACAGAGAATTGAGACGTGTGTTATCGTCTACAAAGTGGCAGGTTACAGCCAGATAGGCATCCATATTGATGGACGTCCACATGTCAGAGGTCAGGCTCACTGCAGCCACCTTCTGCATATCAGCTATGGCCTTGTTCCTTTCCAGAACGTACTTGGCATCCACCATAGCCTTAACAGCCTAAAAAAGGGGAAATCACTGGTTAATTGTCAAATGCCATGAAAAATAAACAATTTTGCTCTATACATGAAGTCTTACACACCTGCCGTGTGGGGATGACATAGTTTGGATCCAATAAGGCCACAAATGCCCTAAATCCCACATCCTCCACAACACTGAATGGCTGTGTATCCTTCACAATCAGGTTGACCAAGGCCTCATCCAGATCCTGTTTTCTGATAGGCCTAGCTGGGGGGGGGGAAAGGGAAGCTGTGTTAAGAATGAGTATCTTGTAACTTTCTTTTATTTGCATGATAAAGTGAAGTTAACATGGTTAAATTATAAAATATATTATTAAATTATTAAATGACAAACCTTTAGCAGGTCCACCTCCATGTCCCTCCTTGTTCTCATGTATGGCACGATAATGCCTTAGCATGGATGAAGTATTATTATTGTATCCCAGTTCCCTGGAGCACAATAAACACTTCACCTTTGAATGAAATAGAAAAAGTAAAAAAATGAACCATACAAAATCTAACATAATACATCTGTTGTAATATACTATGTATGCAACCTACCTTATTCGGTGAAATCAGATCAAAGTGTTCCCACACAGGGGAAGTCCTTCTCTTCTTTGCTGGCTCCATTCTAACGAGTTGCAAAAATATCGTACAACCAAAACTGGCAAACGACAGTGTTCTCCTCTCACAAGGTTCACACATCTTGATCGAATCCCATGGGTTTTTATCTGTCAGAAGCACGCGCCAAGATCTGAAGCGCTTCCTGAAGCAGTCACATGGTATCGACAGGCAGCGAGGCTTCGTTTGTCATCGATGACGTCACTGGCCCAAAACGATACAAGCCTCGATACAGGCTTCACAAAAAGCTTCTGGGATTACTCGACACACGCTCCGAAGCCTCGGCGCAATACGCAACATCACTAGTTGTAACCACTGTGTTGGGTTAAATACATACTTGTGTTGGGCAACTCCTGTGTGGAACTGTTGTCCTTATGTTACAAGCAGAGCCAGCTTGTAACATATGGGGGCTTGTCCGATCCAAGAATCAGGTGATATTTGTTTACTTGATTTGTTTGCCTTGATTGTAAGACAGTTTGTTCCTGGTGTAGGGCATTAAGGAGTAGCTTTGGAATTACCTTTCCTGATAGGTATAAGCAACATATCCTTTTAGGGGAGCTTGTTGGTTTGTTGTTTGTTATTTTTTTGCGTAAACATGATTCGACATTTTTTGTCATGGGTACACGTCCGTGGCTGTCTTGGTGAGTAACAGCTTTACCGGGTCATTGGGTAAGTGTTTAAAACACCTGTCGTGGCATGCATGAAGACTAGGGTGAGACAAGATAGTTAGTATTGGGTAGGCAGTTAGCTAGGGCAGAGGTATTCCAGAGTTAAAAAAGAAAAAAAATCCTTTTAAGTGTTTGTGCACCAGGTTCAAGGGAGTTTGTATAATCATGGCTACATTGATGGATTTTGTTAAGTGTCCCAGTGTGGAACTGCTGGAAGACCAACTGTTAAAAAATTGCAGAGTATTTTGAGGTAGACATTCCAAAGCAGGGTCGTAAAGACACCATAATGACTATGTTACAGGCCCAGTTGGTACTGCAAGAAGTTCTGCCAGCAGTGGCTGTCGATGGTTGTTCCGAGGATGAGTTGGCTGAGAAGGCAGCTATAAATCCAGAGCGGCAGAGAAGTGCAGGTTTTTCTTTGTCTGACTTTGGTGAAATGACATTTGAACAGAGAAAGGAAATAATGCTGCTGCAGTACCAACAAGACAGTGCCCGTGAGGAACGAGCAAGAGCTCGTGAGCAGGAAACTGAGATGGAGCGTTTAAGGTTAACTACAGTGGTGCAGGAAGCTGAATTGCAACAAGAGCATTACAAGTTGGACCTCATCCAAGAGGGTAAGCTTTCTCCTGGGGTGTCCCCAGCAACTTTTGATGTAGCTTATAACCTGAGGTTGTTACCGAAATTCAATGAGAAGACTGTAGATTCTTTTTTTGGACTTTTTGAGCGACTTAGCCAAAGACGACAGTGGTCTGATTCGGAGAAAACATTGCTATTACAGTGTGTGTTAACTGGTAGGACTCAATAAGCATTTTCTGCATTAAGTATGGCTGACAGTGAAGATTACTTTAGGGTAAAGACTGCAGTGCTAAAAGCTTAAGAGTTGGTGCCTGAGGCCTACCGTCAGCAGTTCAGGAAGCTAAGGAAGTCAGAAGGACAGACCTATGTGGAACTTGTTCGGGAGCTGTAAATGTAATCAATGGGTCACGGCTTCCGAAGTAGTAAATCTTAATGATTTGAGGGAACTGTTCCTTCTTGAACAATTCAAAGATATCCTTCCAGAACGCGTTGCTACATACCTGAATGAGCAAAAGGTTCAAATGTAACAGAAGCTGGGGTGTTAGCTGATGAGTACACTTTAACACACAAGATTCATTCAGGGGAGAGATTTGACTGGGGGAGCAGAAATAACTGGTTTGGTGACCACAGAGGTAGAGTGGGTGAAGTGTTAAGGTCAGAGCAAAGGTCCTTGTATGGCTGGAGGGATAAAGTAGATCTAAATACTTGCAACTTTTGTTTGGGTAATGGTCATTGGAAAAATGAATGCCCGGAACTTAATGCAAAAACCAATGGACTCCAAAATGGCCAGGTTCCCAGGCCTGTTGCCCTTGCAGCTCCTGCCACAAGGTTGCTAGGGAGGAGGTTATAGCTGCGGTTAAACTCCATACTCAGAATCAGAATACCTTTATTAGTCCCACAGAGGGGAAATTTGCATCGTTACAGCAGGAAAGAGCCACAGACAGCTTAATGTTACATATGTTAAAACAAACGTACTAAGTTATGATATGGTTTGACACATGTCATTTTGTTGAACAGGTTAACATCACATTTGAACATATAATTGAATTAAAATCATTAAACAATTGTAAATCATAACAATGTACATAACATTGTTGATGGTCAATTAATATACTCATTGACAATGTGCTATTATACATAACATCTAAAAAAGAGGACAATCACCACGGTGTGTTCAAAATGTCTGCCAAAGAGGAACATGGCATCATGTGATGCTGGTGACATGGTATTGGGACAAACCATTTTTTTACTTAAAGGCGGGAGTTCTGTTAGTAACATAGTTGACAGAACTTTTGCGGACATTCATATATTAAGATATTTAAATTATTTAAAGGAGGAAATAAATTAAAAATATATTATTATTCTTTAGTATTTAGAGTTTTGAAATAAATGAATACTTGTTTTAATTTACTTTAATGGTTTCTATTCATTATTTTGAAACCAAGACACCCTCAACTGAAAAACGGACATAGCAAAAACTGACAATTTAAGAACATCATGACACATTTCAAGCTAAATAAAGCATGGATGCACATAACGTTTGTGTGATATAATAACATGCTTTCCAATAATAGGCAAAATATGATATTTTTGAAGAAAATAGTTAGAATAATTATAATTATCATCAATGGACATACCCTAAATTGTAGAATCACTCATATATAATAATTTAATTGTTCTAGTCTGCGCATATGACAGGCCTTTGTGTTTGATGTTTACAAAGTATGGTGATAGCAGCTTTAAATTACTTTAAATGTATGAGATTTACAGTAAATGTATTTGATTTGGCTTCTATTTTCGATGTTAATGTTGTAATTGCCATCGAAAATGAATTGTTGTGTTTATCTTCAGTCAAATACAAAAATCATGGTGGGGCTGATAAAGGGAGGCAGATATTTATGTCATGACATTCAGCTGAGCGGAAGACAAGATCTCATGTCCACACAAGAATCCATGAAACCAGAACACGTGTTATAACGAGTATTAACATTAGTGAGTGATGATTCCTCTGACCCCAACATCCAAGACCAAAACATGTGCACTCCTTGACCTGCAATGTATGACCTGCATATATATGAGTTCAGCTTGTTTTCCCAAACATTCAATCAATCATTTAAACGGCAGGAAGTATTTAATTTTTAACGTAACAGAGTGTGACATGTAGTTCGTCAGCAAACTAGATTATTATTTGATATTGATGCTCCCCAGAGGTTGAATAATTACAAGTTTGGTGGCTCCGTGATTAATAAAATCTTGGTGTACATTTTATCCAAATGCGTCATTAAAAACTCCATTTACAAAAATAGACTCAAATGCCACTCCAGAAATGCACTAAGAGAAAAAAAACAGTCAATTTAAAGATCTCCTATCATGCTACTTTTAGGCATATATTATTGGTATCAGATACAAATATAAAAACATATTTATGATGTGTTCTTCTCAACATACCAAACAGATCATGCATTTTAGACATCCCTCATATCCTTCTACGTATTTCAGCCCTGTTAGAGAATGGCTGATTATCTGCTGGCCCCGCCCCCTTTTGAGCAGCAGGCACACAGATGCAGCTAAATGCTGTCGTGATTTAACGCCATATCATGTTCCAAACCACTTCAAGGATTATTTCTGAAACAGCATGGAGCTCAAATGCTTATTTTCTTGTTCTAGTTTTACACATAGGCTACTCTCTCCAGTACAGGTTAGCTCTGAGTGTTAGCGATGCTTGCTAATGTAAACAAATATTCTGGTCCGACTCATGAACTGACGGACAACTT